CAAGGGGCTAGGGAGACTCTGGGGGAAAAAAGTAGCATGAGTGCAGCCATGGGGGAGCCCGGGGGACGGGAAGACTCCGGGCAGGCTGGGGGGGGGTCAGCAGCACTAGGTGGGCACTGGAAGGGTACTGGGGAACTGGAGGCACCACCCAGTCCTCACAACCCCTCTCCCTGCAGGTTCTGCCTCTACCCCGAGCTATCCGAGGACCTGGTGGGCACACACCCGCCCGGGGCACACAGTCTGGTGCCATGGGGGAGCCCGGGGGACGGGAAGACTCCGGGCAGGCTGGGGGGGGGTCAGCAGCACTAGGTGGGCACTGGAAGGGTACTGGGGAACTGGAGGCACCACCCAGTCCTCACAACCCCTCTCCCTGCAGGTTCTGCCTCTACCCCGAGCTATCCGAGGACCTGGTGGGCACACACCCGCCCGGGGCACACAGTCTGGTCGCCATATCCGTAGGTGAGGTGGGGGGAGTGGGCTGCCCCCTGTTCTGCCCCCCGGGGGCTCTTCAGGGACTCCTCGGTGCCTGACACCAGTCCCTGGAGCCACATGGCGGGCGGCGATGCCTCAGGCACCCCGGACAATCGCCCTATTCTTGGCCAAGGACAGTGGCTCCTTTCTGTCCCACGGCACCCACAGCCAGGAGGTACTGGGCACCAGGCTGCCCACCACCATCCTCATGGGGCAGCCAGGGCTTGGAGCATCCCAAAAGTTCCCGTGATAGGGGGTTCATGTAGGTTGCCCCAAAGCCTCGAGCTAAACCTGCCAGTGTGGAGGTCAGGAGCTTTGAGTTCTCTGGCTACGTTAAGCCTTCCCCTCTGCTTTTCCCTTGCCACCCTCTTGCAGGTGTCACCAGCTCTGTAGTCAGTGCTAACGGGCTTCCCAGCATGGCTACAGCTCAGCAGGGAGCTCTGAGTATCTAGAAGGCCAATACGGGGTTGGTTTGGTGACAGTGAATCCTGCAGTTGTTAAAGGCTCCAGGCTGAGAGGGTGTGGGGTGGGACCTGATCCTGGGGTGATAACATGGGTGAAGGTTTGTGTGCTGCCTTCACTCTCACCCTTCTCTGGGAGCAGAACCAAGTGATCAGTTAGTGCTTTTTCCTAGAAGCACATCCTAAAGAGTGACTGCAGGATGGGCCCAGACCACACCAATTTCCTCTCTCCAGCTTTGTGTGGTGCTGCTCTGTGCGTGACTCACCAGCAGGCAGGGTCTGGGCTGAGCTGTGGCCATCACTTCCCCAAGGGGCTGCCCAGCTCATCCGGGTGCACAGCGTGCTGGTGGGGCAGTCCCTTGGCACAGCCCTTCCTGGTCCCCTTCTTTGTTCACAGCTTCTCTGTTTCCAGGTTATTTCCTTGAAGACTTTGTGGACATGTTGTGCAATCAGAAACTCCACCAGTCCTGGGAGCTGCTCTTCCATCACTCTGTGGTGAGTCTGCTCTGCTGTCTGAGGGACAGACCCTGGAACTTGCACCTCGAGGGAGCCTGGGGCTGGGGCACATGAGTGGGGTTCCTGCTGTTGCTGGCGTGGGTGTTTGCTGCCTGTTACAAAAGCTGTCTGATTTTTCTGCCTGGGGAGAGGAGTCCCAACAACAGGGCTTGGAGCTCCTCTTGGTCCTGCCCAACTCTGTACTCTTCAAAGGGCTGAGGAAAGGCATCCAAAGGAGGGGTAGCAAACAACCCTGTGTGTGCACAGAGTAAGGGGGAAGAGGGCTGGGCTGGGGGGTTGATCCATAACAGTGGTGTGGACAGGCAGTGCCCCACGTGTCCCCACTGGCACAGGAGAGCAGCTCAGCTCCTGCTGGCTCTCCTGAGCACCTGCCAGGAAGGGCTGCACGTCACCTCCTTCCACCTCCTGCTCCTCAGGGTGGGTGCTCTCCTCTCATTGGGGTCAGAGCTGTGGCCACGGGGCTGGGGTGGCTGGAGCAGCCGTGGTGCAGAAGCCCCACACCAGTGCCCCCCACCTGCCCTGCTGCTGGCTGTGCCTGGCGTGGGTTGCTCTTTGATCTCCTCCCATGTCCAGATGCTGGAGGGCTGCAAATGCTGCAGGGCAGGGGGGTGGCACAGCCTGGAGCTGAGCAGCAGAGACAATCTGGGGTACAGGGAGGCTCAGGGGCTTGCAGGGCCTGGGGGTGGGGGCTCAGGGACAGCACTGGGACTTACCTGGGATGAGATGGGGGAGGCGATGGTCAGACCTGCTGTCCCACAGAGCCCAGCCAGTCCTGCAGCTTTGCTGCTGCTGCTTGGGAGCCAAAAGGTCATCTACACAATAGAACTAATTCAGGCCAAGACAGTGACTTACCGAGCAGGGAGCAGATAATCTCATTAAAGACCCAGTACAGAGAACAGCATTAATGGTATAAACCGAAGAAAGGACCGAGTGTACTGAGGCGTGGGCAGGCAGAGCCTGCCCCCCTGCCCTGCAGAGAGGGTGGGGGGCAGGAATCCACCTGCCCTGCCCCCAGCAGCCCCAGGGTGCTTTGGACCAGGCCTGGGAAATCCCACAGGGCTCTCCAACGCACCAAAGCTGCTGGGCTCTCCAATGCACCAAAGCTGTTTAATCCCCGCAGTGTGCCTCTTCTGGGGAGAATCCCTGAGCCAGCAGCAACTGTAGCCCAGGGCTATGTGTCTCCCTTCCTGACCGGTTCACCCAGTTCAGAAAAACCTGCTGGGCCACAACCAGCTGCATTCCCCAGGTCACAAAAGCAGGGTTAGGTCTGGCTGCTCTGTCTCCTCTGCCAACCTGGAGTTTATAGAAGCATTTCCTTCTCCTCCCACCGGCAAAAGAACCTGCTCAGGTTCCATGCAGCGATGGGGAGCAGGCTTTATCTCACGCCCAAGGCTGTGGTGCTGCAGAGATGTGTTGGGGGTGATGCCCAGCAGTTTGGCCCTGACATGATCGAGAACCATTTCCCCCTCTGCTCCACACTGCACCCAAGCGTGGAGGTCTCTGCAGGAGCTGAGAGCAACCAGCTCTTGGGCTCAGCCTCTCTCCTTTCTCCTTCCCAGGTGATCATCTGCTTTGGTATTGCGGTGGTGCTCCACCAGTACGTGGGGTTTGCCCTGGTGGCTTTGCTGGTGGAGATCAACTCCATCTTCCTCCACCTCCGGCAGATCCTGCTCATGGCCAACCTGGCGCACACCACTTGTTACCGCCTCAACAGCAGCCTCAACCTGGGCACCTACGTGGTGTTCCGCATCGCCACGCTGGCCTGGATGGCTCGCTGGCTCTTCCTCAACAGGGAGAACGTGCCCCTGGCCACCTACGCCGTGGGCACGGCGGGCATGGCAATCATGACCCCCATGAACATCGTCCTCTTCTACCGCCTGCTGCGCAGCGACTGCCTCAAGCCCGGCCGGGGGGTGCGGCGGGAGAAGGAGCAATAGCCCCCCCCCTAGGGCCCTGAGCCCTGCAGGAGGACAGCAAAGCACAGTGGAGAGTGAACGGGGCTGTGTCAGTACCTTGAGTGGAGGGGCCACGCTAACAGAGCATCTGGGCTTGGCTTGTGACTCAGGTCCTTGGTCCCGCACAGCCAAGTGCTCCCAGAGCAGGCACCGGGGCTCTGCTCCCCCCACGCCTTTGGGTGATGTGGTTGGACGACTGGGAGCTGCTCAGAGAAGCCTTGATAGCTCTCACAGCTCCCCGAGGCACTGCTGAGATGAGAAGGAGCAGAAGAGCACTGTTTCTCCACAGCTCTTCCAGACATCCCAACACCACAGTGTGCTTCTAACCCCTTTGGTCCTGCAGCCCACCGGCCAGGGAACACTGTGCTCAGCCCTGCGTCCTCTGAGGCACTTCCCACGGGAGCACCACCAGCCAAGAGAGGTTCCGAGGCTTTGTTCTCGAGGCGAGGGCCAGTAAAAGCCAAATCCTGCACTCATGAGTCCTCCCCGAGGAGATTGTCCCAGGTGGGTGATGGAGGGAGAGGCTGAGACCTGTCTGGGTGGGATGCTGCCCACTGCAGGGTCCAGGCTGGGGGCAGAGCCCTGGGCAGCAGGTGCTGTGCTCGGGGGTGGGCAACCAACTTCTCCTGACAACTGGAGCTTTCCCGTGTTGTTTTGTTCCCAGATATGTTAAGGAAGGATGGCACTACCTGATGGCCACTTCCCACGGACACACAGTTGCCCAGGCAAAGGCCTCTGTTAGGTCTAGGCGTGTATTAGGAATGAAAAGTTCTGCTGCAGAGCCCAGTGTAGCACTCTTAGCCAGCAGCAAGAGCTGTTACTAACATGAGCTTTTAATAAACAGCTGCAAATGAAACGTCTCGAGGGGAAGAGGCTTAGAGACACAAAGGCACTCAGCACCCCAGCCCTCCCCAGGGCTGTCGCTGCTCAGCACAGCACTTCTTCTCCTCTCTCCCTGCCACGGGGTAAAAATACACCCTACACTGGCACAGTCTACCTCTCTTGGGGCTTTTTTTCCCCCTCTCTCCTTTCCATGGGGGAAGGTGAAGGTTTCTCCCGTTCCTGCGTACGCTCTGCTGAACTCCCAGGCAAGGGCAGGCTGCACTTTCCTCGGGGCTGAAGCAGCAGCAGGATGGGTGCCAGCTCCTGCTGGGGCTCTGCCCTCGGAGCACCCAGCACGGGGCATCCCTGCTCTCGTTCCCCACGCTGGATGCCAGCTTGCAGCAGAGCCAGGATCCCTGTGGTTCACTCCGCCTGACCCCCGAGGCTGCCTAGGACAAGCAATCAGAACTGACATTCTTTTTCACTCCCCATTTTATTTCCCCCCCCAATTCCCACGTGCTGCACTGTTCCCCAGCAGCCCAGCACATGTATAAAGGCAAGATCATCCCACTCGGGATTACGTGTGCTCAGAAATCCACTGGATCTGTCGTGCTTTCTGTTGGGCAAACAACCTTTCACACAAAATCTCTCCTTTGCTTTGACAAGCTGGAGGGCAGGCTGAAACAACACTGTGCTTGGAGTGGACAGCACTTGTTTTGAGGAGGAAAATAAGGGAAAAGACTCATTTCTGCCTGGGCAGGGAAAGACAAGCAATATGTGGGGGCAGTGGGAGGCTGGAGATGACTTGTGGCCAAAGCCTCTTATGTTTCTATTTGTGGAGAGTGCAGGGAAGCTTGCAGGTGCTGGAGATACCTACTCTGTGTTTGGGTTTGTCACCTCAAGCAGCATTTAGGTGCCCACATGGTGCTCAGAGCTCCGAGCCAGAACGGAGCTGGCAGCCAGGGCTTTCTCTTGGGTTTGACCCACTTATGCCTCGTGTTCCAGGAGCTGCTCCACAGATCCCTGCCCTTAGCACAGCCTCTGCACCCGCTCAGCAATGCTGGCTCTGTCCTCCAGCCCCTGCCCACACCAGGGACAGCGTTTCTCAAGGCCTGGATTGTGTTACCACATTCCTGCCCTCACGTGGATGTCACGTAGCCTGGGCACGTGGGGTTGAGGGCCAGGGAGGCCTGTTCTGGGGCCTTGTACCAGACATGATTTTCCCCCAGTCCTGCTGTGGGTGAAGCAGTGGCTGTGCAGCTCACTGCAGCCAGAACAAGGATACCCTGTGCTTGTCCATCCTGGTGGAAAAGAACGTGGGGGGTTCCCTGTGCTTGTCCATCCTGGTGGAAAAGGACGTGGGGGGTACCCTGTGCTTGTTCATCCTGATGGAAAACTCCCCAGCCTCGGCTTGCAGTGCTTTAGGAAGGGGCCTGCCCTCTGATCCCCTATACAGGGGGTCCCAGGGCTAGAGGGGAGTGTCTCCATGAGGGATGTAGTCTGGGAGGGGTCACCCACACCCACCTCTGC